GAGAGAGAGAGAGAGAGAGAGAGAGAGAGAGAGAGATGGGCGACATTGGGATTTGACGACATTGGGGTTCAGACTCAACATCGGGATTCAGACCTTTGGCGAGGGATTATCATGGACTGTATCGAAGACTTGGTGTTGACGACATTTCCATCTTCCCCCTCTCCTTCGTCTCATCCCCCTCTTCTTCGTCTATGCATGATCGGGGACTGACGCATTCTTCTTGTGTGAGCGTCAGCCCCCTTCACACCATGGAATGATAATGATGCATGTTTGGTCTGCATGGCAGCGTGATTGATCGGATCATTGGTATCTAAGCCTTCCGTTGTGCTATCTTGTATCTGGCGAGAAAGGTCGGTTCTTGGTCTGGTCTGCACCGTTATGGTATGCAACACCAACAGACAGAAGGACGGAGAGAGATGGAGGCAGAACACTACACAGAGACAGAGACAGAGACAGAGATAAGGGACGGAGATGGTGGTGAAATGAAGCCGGGGACAGAGATGGAGACGAGGACAAGCGGGAACGGTGTCGGGCGGCTCCATCCTTATCGCCGCCCTTACTTCCCTAATTTTCGCAACAAATATCCTATTAAAATAATCTAATAATTCGACAAAATCGACAATCTATTGATCGACATTTTCGGGATCATCGGAGGGATTCTTTGGTTGTTGCTATACGAAAAGGCTACTAGAGCCTCATATAAAGGTGACGCGGGGGAGCCTATAATTGAACCGTAATTAACGTGCGTTGGGGATCAGTACATGGGTATGCGGACAAACTTGGCGCACCAAGAACTGGGCCTAGGACCGGCCTTATGCACACAAGACAAGACTAGAGCGCAGACGACTGGGGCTATCGCGCGGAGGACCATTCTGAATTGTGAAGGACCGGACTAGATTATGGAAAACCAGCTCAATACACGGTGGAGCCGACCCAAAAAGTGGTCGTAGGCCCACGCCGAGTTGGGCCCAGCAAACTATATAAGCCCAAATGGGCCCAGGATCGAGATACTTCTCACCTGCATACTTGCTGGCACACAAGGTGTGCTGGCCTTGGGATGCTCAAGGATTGGGAAGGGAGGAGGGGCACTACGAGAACAGTTCGGACTTGCGCGCGCGCTAGCACACGAGGTGTGCTGGCCTTCAGAAACACGGGGTGCGAAAGAAGACGGACCAAGCACGAAGTTGGAGTGCCTTCCCTGTTGGCCTGCAGATGGCGCAGTGGCATGCCTGGAACGAGCACCGAATCGTCGCAGCTGTTACGATCCTGGCCAATTTCGAAGTATTCATTCATCAGAAAGTACAATGCCGTCCAATTGCAAAAAGAAATGAATGAACTTGAGAGGAGAGAGAGGGAAAGAAGAAGAAGAAGAAGTAAGAAAGAAGAAGAAGATGATGTACTCCAGCATAGACCAATGACAAGGCTCTTTTTCTTTGCCAACCAATCTCCTCCTCCTTGTCTCTTCCCCTCTTATTCAAACAATAAATAACAATAATAATGTTGAACGGCTGAACCAGAATCAATATCGGAATCCAACTTCTACTGCAGGCACAACATGAGGTCCACCATAGCCATGGCCACCCTTCTCCTTCCTCGTCATTCCAGGCCGCGGCTATGGCGGACTACTGAGGCTTCAGCCTCCTGTCCAAAGGACAACCCGAAGCAGCTATGTCACTGCCGCTTCAAGCAGCTATGCCGCTGCTCACTGAACCGCCATGCCTGACTCTACCCCGAGCTTCCTTGGTGCGGCACTACCCCAACAGGGGGCCTTCCAGATGCAGCGCCTAACAAGGTGATGAAGATGGTGTCCACCATAGCCAGGTAGGTACCTCGCCACTCTCCCCCTTGGTCCCCTTCTCCCTCCTCCTCCTACCGGTCGAGCTCCACCATAGCCGAGGTGGAAGCTCCCGGCTTCTTCCTCCCAGCAGCGGTGTAGCAGCCAGCGCTCCAGCAGCATGACGCCCAACTCGCACACTGAAGAATGAGGTCGAGCTCTTCCCTCTGACTCTTGATATAGCGGCCAACTTGCCTCCTGGTCGGTGACTTCCAGGCCGCTCGGCCTCCCAAGCAACCGGTACCTCCTCCCTCTCGGAGGGAAACATCATTGCAGACTCTGATATTGCCCGTACAGGCTCTAGACTCAGACTGGATGGACTGGTACCGGCCTAGACCTAGCCTACCGCTACTGGGCCTCTAAAAATGCCAACTTTGTCTTCTTCTGCTCGGCCTCGAGTACCCGGCACATCTAATGCTACTGGGCGCGGTACCGGCCTACCTGCTACTTGAGTGTTTTTCCGCTGCTCTAAGCACCACGAGCCTCTGGCTCCACCACTTGAGTGTTTTCCCCTGCTGCAATCCTCAATGCCACGGCCACAGGTAAGCACCGGCCCATAGGGCCTGCCAAACAAGCAAGTACCCTTGCGGGTCACACACACACTCATGCTGACAAGCACTCATACAGGCACGCAAGTCAACAACGCACACATACAGACTTAGAAAACACAGCAGAATGCGGGAATCTCAGCAAGGCATCCATTCCATCGACAGAACTTCAGAAATCCGCAGTGTTCTCAGTCTGTGTTATGGCGGGTCATTACACAGCGATTGTTTCAAGTTGAAAACGATTTTTCTGATTTTTTCTGTTATTTTTCCTAGAAAGATCTCGAGCAAACCTACGGGACTCTATGTTGGCAGACTCTCTGAAGCATTCTTTAGAGCGGAAAAATCACAGAACTTGGAGTACTT